AATGACCTTTTTTGTATTCTTCTCTGCTTTCACTCATTTTTGAAAGGAATTTAATACTCTATAGAGTGTTGTATTCATAAAATGCTAGACTACAAGTACCAATTTACAGAGTGTAATATTACTGTGTTTTGGGGAAGTTATATATTTTTTTTCACCTGTGCAATACTTTTGTCATATACTGTAACTATTATCTATTTGGCGTACTTACACCTGTGGTGCGATGGGTTTTCGGGTTTGAAGCTGCTCGCCGCCGAAACTGTACTGAAACTGCTGCTGTCGGACATGTCGCCCTTCTTAGGACTCTCATTTCCCTGATCATACTTTTGAGTGGGATTTTTCTTGCCATGCTTTTCTGACATGTGTAGACTGGCAGCGATGGTAGCAAGAGAATGAAGGCAGTGTGTCTAGTCGCAGCCGGGTGCCTCTCTTCAGCTAGCCAGGCAGTACTTCAAATATTGCAAGAGTGCGGAGAACTGATAGGGAGTCGTCTTTGCTAGTGTAATGTGGCGCAACGTCATAACCGCTGATCCTAGCAATCATGTCAGACACAAAGTAAGTTACCATTTCCCGCCCGCTATTACTACTAGACTAGTACTAGTACCAACCTAGTGGCGTAAGGAGTCCATAATATCGGCTTATTTGGGTCCCAATGGACGTAAGTTTCCGGCCGGCGTATTTTCACCTTTCCTCCCAGACTGAAGCACACATTCCGGCATTTGTTACTTTGTTTGTTAAAAGACATTATGCGTCCACAGCCATCCCCCCCAAAAAGACACTTCTGGCGCGAATAAAGAATATCAAAGGATCCCACCCTCCGGAGCTAATATACATAACCGTGAACTAAGCAAACATAAAGAGAATGGCAAAGGAAAGGAGAAATGAAAAAGTCGCCCGTCACACGCAAATGTCTCCACTCTACGCACGCATATAGGTTCGCCTTGTTCTTATGTATGCAAATGATTGACAATGTCAACCCGCATTCACTCGTTCAGCTTCGTCTTCTTCATCTGCTCAACGAACGGGCTCAACGGCGGTGCATTGTCGGTTTTGGGGGGAACTGGAGGAGCAGTAGCACTTATGTCGACCGATACTGGTTTGCTTGAAAGACGGTCGTCGGGAGAGGTGGGCGGTGTAGAGTGCGAGGACGTATCGGATTCGTCGTCTTCATTGTGGTGGTGTATGACTTCCTTGTCTGCATCCACAATTTCCTGTAGACAAAGATAAAAAATCCATTGAGTACTGACAGTGGAAATTAAAAAAAAAAATACCAACCAATTCAGTTTCCTGCATATATTTGTCAATGTTCGTTGCAAGCTCCTGTGCGCTGGGGGATAGCTTGGAGGCGCCTCCATGCGAGAGCATCGACATTCGGCGCATAGCCATCATGCCCAACACAGCTTTGCGGACTACGTAAAGGATAAAAGTAAATTTAGTTAGCACAGGAAGGCATATCTCGATACGCGACCCAGGGTTCGGGGATTTGATGCATCCGAACACGGAGGATTTGGAAAGTAGAAACTTACATGTCTTCCTCGCATTGAAGCCTTTCTGGATCGTCGGAAGCAAGTCCTTCGGGCCGCCCGTCGGGCTCTCCGGATCTGCGATGAAGTGCGGTGTCTCACTTGCCAGCCAGGGGTGTTCCAATGCCTCCTTAGCTATGGGCCGCTTTGCGGGATCGTCTGAGAGACAGGTACGAACAAAATCGCGTGCAGTCTGGCTGACGTTCGCCCAGAACTCTTCTGGTTCAAATGCATAGTCACCCTTGAGGATTGCCTGCATCTCTTGTTCCTGTGTGTCTCTATCGAACGGTGTATAGCCACAGAGAAGGAAATAAGTGATGACGCCCATTGCCCAAATGTCTACAGGTTTGCCATGACCAGCTGTGCAGGCATATTAGCGCATAATTAAGAGGGAAGAAATTGTCCAACGCACATTTCCTAAAAATCTCCGGTGCCATGTACTATTTACCGATGTTGATCAGAGCAGTGTAGAACAGAACACAGATAAGGACGTACACCAGGGGTACCACAAATTTCTGTAAGAAGTTGCAGCTTGTCCTCCGACATAATTCGAGACAAGCCAAAGTCCGCAATCATAATATCGGCGTCCTCGGCCTTCGTCCTGAAGAGCAAGTTCTCTGGTTTCAGGTCTGCGTATGAGGCACAATGAATGACGGACTCGGTAATAGTAGCGGACAAGTATACCTCTATGGACTATCCCGCACCCATGAATGTAATCGACTGCACCCATTATAGTCCTCACCAGATTAGCTGCATCTCTACATATCAATGATGTGAATGTATGCGTTCGGAATACATATACTCAGCAAAATATTGCGCTTTTATCGACTATATCAGACACATACGCTTCATAGTAGTTCCCTTTAGCACATATACGGTCGAACAGTTCACCTCCCGTGCATAGATCGAAACAAAGATAGAGGTTGTGAGTCGTCTGAGACAAGATATCCTGATTAGCTACAATGGAGCAGCGCTTCGAAGTTAACATACCTCAAAGTAATCATGAAGCGTTACGATGTTTTTATGACCCTTTGACACGCGTTTGAGCACAGCGATCTCGTTCCTCACCTGTCAAGTCGACATGAGGAGACATCGTCCATTGATCACAAGGCCAGAGAACTCACCATGTACTCGCGACCCTCCATAAGCTTCTTATTGATGACCTTGCATGCATAATACTTGTCCGTCTTGATGTGAACTGCTTCCTTCACGACAGCATATGTTCCACTGCCGAGGGTTCTGCCAGTACGGTACTGCGGGCACAGGGTGGGATCAGAGCTCCAGCGGGCGATCATCGCCGCGTCCAAAGTCGAACGTTGTACACACCTGACATGGCACTGTCATCTGGGCAGCCATCGATGAGAGCGCGTTGTTGTGGTTAGAGGAAGAGAGCTGGGTGCTCTTTGAGTCGCCAATATTAGCGCCGGGTCTGTCCACGGCTGTCTCGTCTCTATCCGGCTGCAAGTTTCCTTTCATGGAGAATGTGACCGGCTTATCCGAACGACTTTCGCTTGTGGTGGTTCTCGTTGATGCTGTCGACGGGCTGCCTTCGCGATGTCTCTCGCGGAGACGGCGAGAAAAATGGTGCTGGCTCTGCTTGTTACCCATGCTTGCTCAGACTCGCAGTCGCGCTCGTCGTGGTTCGTTTCAAGAGCGAAACGGACACCCGCCTGCAAATCTCGCCGGCCAACGAAAGAAGAGCTGTGCCGCACGCACCGCCTTACCCGTTTCCGCAGCTTCGATGCCTCGGGCTGTTGCAGACCATTAATTTGATGAATGGAAGACCAGTTAACAGCGTGATCATCAATGCTCTGCTCGGCTGTGCATCTTCACATTTTCACCTGGCTAGAGCAGTTTTGTTCTCCTACCTATGTTCATCAATATTACTTCTTGCGCTGGCTGAAAAGATGAGATAGCTTGCAAGACAAAATGAGACTGTGTCCCCCTGTTACTAGCTTCACGCATATTCAAGGTAAACTCCGTACATTTACTCGATTCGTCTTTTCTACGTTGGCGTGAATCGGTTGTCTTTGTGCAGTTTAATTATAATAGTGTGCTGAATCCTAACGCTAAAGGATGATCCCACTTTGTGGTGAGTTGTGCTCCGCTGTCACAACTGTGGCACTGCTATGAGTGCCTTTGGTTTGATAGACCAACTGCTAGTCCCAATTCAGCTGATTCTCTGAGTAATATCCGCACAGATCGAGAATCTACCACAGCCTTTGTCAACCCAGCATTTACTGGACCCTTTGTCTACGAAGTTTACACATTCTTTTGTGGATGGACGGTTCAAATGTCGAAGTTGTGCATTACTAGAAAACATGCTCATTTGTGTTGCACACGCTGAAAGGTGTTTCATTTCGATTACCAGAACTTATAAGGAAACAGCAGAGTATCACCCAATGTCAAACCCAGTAACTGGGATGGTACTATATTTTAATTCATAGGACCAGTACAGTGGATTCTGTGTAAGTACATGTGCAACAACCTTGCCCACGTTGTTACAATGCCTTAAAATAGTTTCTAAATTCATACTGTGTGTTACACAGCCTATCATAGATAATCAATCAATGCTCGCATCATGCCGGCAAACTGAATATAAAGTCTGTCCGATTTGTCAACAAACGTGTGCTCCCCCTTCCCTGCTTTTCGTTGCCCCTGTCCACAATGCCTGTCGAGAAAGACATTTATCATACAGAGCTCTATAAACTTGGTCATGGACTTCCGATCTATGAGCCAGACCCGGCAGGCAAATACGACAAAGTCAGAGTGGGAGATTTTGGCTATGTTGATAGATTTGGTTGTTTTCACAGGGTCTTCAATGTTTTCTTGCCAAAGGAGGACCCGATAAACCTTCAGCATGGCACACCTAATGATTTTGTCCCCTTGCCGAGCAGATCATCATCTACATACCATCGTAGCCCTCTACCAGCTGGACCTATGCATTCAACGTATGTGCGTCTTCTTGAAGGTAGCTTCAGTGTGTCAGGGTAAAATATTTCTCCAGTATTAATAATAATCAGTCATGCTCATTGTTTTGTAGCTCATGCATACCAGCCAATGCATCAATTAAGTTCAGCACCTCCAACCAACAAGGTGCAGCACTTGTTATTAGGCACCCTGCATACCGAGAAGATGTCCTTCAAGAGACTGCATTAGAAGCCTGTCTGCTTAAAAACTACAATTCGTGGCTCGTATTCATACGAGATGATCTGGAACGTCGTATAACCCTTCGTGATATTGTACTCGTTACTGGGTGCGATTTGACAGCAGACTGGGCAACAGCTGTTTTTGTCGAGAAATCAACACAGTGCGAGGTCGAGTTCAAGGCATGCGATCCTGCCTCGTTGACAACTGGATCCGTTGGCTTCTGGGGAACTTGGCAATCGTCTGTTAATGTCCCTCATCGTTGTGGACCTTGTCCTGTACAGCCTCCATCAACCCCGAGTACCCGTCACACTATCGAACCTGTCCAGCAGTTAAATACTGACCCATTACTAGTAGAGCCAAACTATAACCAGTGTATATTTTTGAGAGGCTTTCGTGTCCAGGACCGAAGAGTACTTTCACCAAAGATCATCAAGGCAGCTGCAGAGCCAAAGGACCTGGATATGGACAGGGATAGTGATGCAGCACCTGTAATAGCTTTGCTAGAGCATGGGTCTGATTCTGATGAGTCAGTTTCTGAAGAAGAAACATATCAGAAACCTCATCAAAATCATCATGTACGAGTCTGTTGTTGTTTCACACTGCATGTTCTTATAGTTTGTCTTGCAGAACCCTATCTATGATGCAGTGTTTGATCGAATATTCAAAGTTAGTATTGTTTTCTAAATTTTCCCCCTACTTAACATGTCCATGAGTAGGAGACAGATGCAGAAGTTGCTATCTTACATGATAGTGAGATATATCAAATTATCAAGGTATTCATGCAACCAAATTGTGATATATGCAAGAATTAACACGGCTCCTTTTGCATTCAAATATAAAGTCCTGTGATGGCACACTTGATGGAGTCATGCTAGAGAACATAAATATCACAGTAGCTTCTGATAATGATTTACACAGGAAAGGTAGGAAGGTCAGCTTTTTGGAATTTGTGACATTGTCTCACTATAAGTACAGTAGGGCGCATTATATCAAAGGGCACAAGTACTATTGTTGCATATAATAATAGTGGCAAATCTGAGTGCAAGGTGTCAAAGCCACTGATTGACCCTAAGCCCTCAAGGCATGTTTTGAAACCAAAAGGTGCTGTCCGTGCAGGGTCTGGCTGCTACACCTGCAGAATACGCCGAAAGGTGAGTCTATTTTTTTGACTCGCCCTCTCATGTGTAACACATATCTCATATGTTTGTGATAGAAATGTGACGGGAAGCCGGACGCAGATGGCCAGTGCCAGACCTGTGTCCGTCTCCGCTTGCAATGCCTTGGCTTTGGTGCAAAACGTCCTGAATGGATGCGCGTAAGTCCTCCTTACCTCACGTACTGTCCTGCATATCCTCAGTCATCTTGAATAGGAGGGCAACAGCGTAGAAGAGTTGCGAAGCAAAATCAAGGGCTTCCTTGCTCAGAACGGTATGATTAAAGGCCACTCCGCCTCCATTGCATCCGGTCCCCCAGACTCTCTATCCACTCCAGAAGCAAGTACAAGCTCGGCGCCTGGGACGTCTGTTTCACTCCCGCTGGCGACAGCTAACACATCTAAGCGTGTCCGCCATTTGCCGAGTCCATATTCTGATATGCCATCATCTTTCTCCGCGGCTTCGACTTCTTCGACGACTGCGACTGGTTCTTATATGGCCCCTTCCTACTATCGTGGCAGTTCGTCCAACATGAGCTCAGTCTCAAACACCTCGGATGTGGCATCCCCTTTATGTGGCTCGTCATTTTCTACTGCATCGACTCCGGCTCTCACTTCGTCATCTGGATCTGACGCTGGTTGGGAATCCCCACGCTCTGACCTACTCGGGTCTTCATTTGGCGACATGGACCAACGCTGGGCATCGGAATACTATATGCCTTCCCAACTTACTTCGGCACATGCCCACGTCTCCAACTATAACGCCAAACATGACCCAACTGCCCATGTGAAAACCGAACCGGACATTGTGGACATGGACATCGACCACAATTGTCAATTTAATGCATGCTCGTCTACAACCTATCCTGGTGGACCATTGTCGCGCTCACGGAGCCTGATTAACGATCGATGCACAACCTCTACTGCAAACGCTCACTCCGACGTCAAACGTGAACCCGATGATGATTCCATGAATGCATATATCAATGACAACTATAACGCATCAACGGATCACTCATCGTCTGTATTCTCAAACCCGTTCGCATACCATGATAATGCCGAGTCCACTTACATGGCACACAATAACGCTACAGTCGTCAACCCGTCATACCATGCACCCCAACTTTCTCCTGACTCGCCTCCGCCCACTTATCGTCCGGATCCAAGTATATGGGGTACTCACTCAACACCCGTGCAGATGAGCGAGCAGGGGCATGGTCGGCCGAGTGTGAGCGTGGCATGTCACCTCCCAGGGCAGTTTAATGTGCATTCTACACAAGGACGCCAAAGTGGGCATGGCGGCAGTGGACAAAGCATACATAATTAAAGTCATGATCATGGGCACGGGCAGGCGGCTTCATGTAACAGTCAGGACCACTATTCAGCTATGTAGTGAGCACTCATGTAGTTTCCACCCATTTCTATGTTGTATTTGTTTATTCTCGGTCGGCGCGGTTTGGATCGGATCAGAACAATGGTCTGCCAGTATTATTGGTTGCGAGATTTGCAGTCGGAGAATTCGTCCCATCACCTGTCCCATTCCAGCTGCACCTTTGCTGCTACATCTTCATATATGCAGTTTCTTGTCTTATAGCTGTGAACTTTGCTGTACTTTTATCCGAATTTTCTTGATACGCTGATGCAGGGGTAAAAGAACGTGTGCAATTAACTGTCCGTCAACATCAACAAAAGTTCGCAAAACATAAAATATCAGCAAAGCTCATCGTAACCGGTGGTCATAATTAGAATAAATAATCGCAGAGAATGCTCGCGTCTCTTTGAGCTCTGTTATACTCTGTAACACGTCCAAAGAAAATCGAATGTCAGCTACTCTGGTCAAGTTCACAGGAAGAAAGAATAATCGTACGTCAACAAGCTCATTCGGCACCGTGTTAAGCGCAGTATGTGACCACCTCGCAAGTCCAGGTAATATATTCGCAAGACGCGGCTTCTCAATTTCCACGTCCTCGTTTGTGACCTGATCCATACTATGGAAAACGCTTTTTCGTAGTCCATCGAGCAATACGTCCATCCCGCGATCCAAAGAAGCTTCGAGGACAGCTGCGAATGCAGGTGAGGCTGCTGTTGCGCGAAGTTCCATCAGTAGTTGTGCGAAAGCAGGGTCTGATTCTGGATTCGGCGGATGTGCTGTGCTCATGGTAGATGTAGACGTGGAGGCGGAGGCGGAGGCCAATTGGGAAGAGGGTGTAGGTCGAGAGGAGGATGAAGACGTAAGGTAGCCTGGGACTCCGCCTTCGCCGAACACGAGAGCTAAGGTCTCCGGTGTTGGAGGGACGATTGTTGACAAGAAGCTGATAGCAATATTTGAAGATATTTAACTTGCGAAAGAAAGTAATTGGCTTACTTTATTCTACGTTCCGTTCCTTCGTATGTAACTTCATGCTCGACTCGCCTCCGTACGTCTTGTATTAATCTATGAAGTTCCAGTGGTCCGAGTCTTGACTTCAGCGAGACACTTCGGGAGATAGGTAATTAAAATGCACAGGAGTAGAAATAAAGATAAACAGCCAACCTCTCAAACACTTCTTCAACGCTTTTCCTCACCCGTTCACCAACATCCTTCCACCCAACATATAACAACCACCAACTAAGTGTCAAGAACTTTCTCTCCAAATCAGACGTAATAACTCCGACATCCTGCACATCCTCTTCTAACCATCGCTCAAGGTCATCTTCTCCAGGATAACCTCCAAAGAATAGAGCAGCAATTGATGATTGGTACGCCTGATACTCGCGGAGCTTCTCTTCACGGTGCAGTTGGACAATGGATTGGAGGTATTTCGAGCGCCCGATGACGTTGAGTTGCATTGTTGTGAGTAACGAGAGGAGGGTGGTAGAGTAGATTATTGTTAGCGTGCGGGTGAATGCTATTCAAGGATCAGCTCAGCTTTTTCATACTTAAAAATATTCCTACTCACTTAAAATTTTGACTTCATGCCACAACTCTCCCTTCGACTTCGAGCTAAGTGGGTGTGGTTCTTGTTCACTGTTCTCAGATCGTCCCTATTCAAACATAAGTACATCAGCGAAAAAAAATCAAGAACTATGATTTCCTCTCACAGCACGTGAATCGCTTGCGCTCGCCGAAGTCATCGACTCGCTAGTTATCGAATCCGACATGTTCGCCCCTGTACCCGCATTTGACAACGGAGACGTGAGTGATGATTCTTGTCGATGATGACTATTAGAGGGAGTCGGGATGGCTAAAGCAGGTCCTTGATCCATTGTCGAGGATCCAGCAATTTGCGAACCAAAATCCTGTACCCAGCTTTGTCCTTGAGACGTCGACGCAGTGCTAACCATAGACTCCTCCATCCCACTTAAACCATTTGAACACCCTGCAGTACTCGTCCCCGGCCCTGTCCGTGATTCTCCACTCCCTCCGTCCCTCCTATGTGATGGGGGTATGGGAGATGAAGGTTGCGAGAACTCCACACTCGAAGCAAGACTGGAGTCCGACAGAGGTGGATTCGGCGAATGCGCACGCACAGCAGTCCGTGCAAGTCTTGATCGCGATTGCAGTTCCTGAGTTACACCCTCAACATCCATACCCTCCAGAATCGCATTTTCAAGTGTACGCAAATGAGCCATTATAGTGAACATGATGTCTTCTTGATTTTGGGTAAATCGTCTGCGTAAACTGTTCTTGTTGTGAGACATTTGCAAGTAAAAAAATATTAGAGATGGAGACGCACTTCTCTCGAGACTTCTGCATTTGCATCGCTTGCTCGCGCATGTCCTCCAACCTTTCAGTGACGTATTTTCCCGCCAAGTAGAACGCCCCTGCTACACCCGCTGCAGTCCATAATGTTCTCCTCCGCTCGTAAAAGTAGTTTCGTATTCGATTGAACATAGCGTCGAGGTAGGTGAGCTTCTGCCGACTGAACCAAAATAGACGACCCGAATCGCTCGTTCCAAGTAATTATGCAAACGGCAAAGCTTAGAAAATGTAATCCTATATACTAAATGAGTATTTGTACGCTGATTGGCTTGAGATAGGACCAACCAAGGTGAGGCAGTGGTCGGTCCTGTTTACTTAGAGCGGAGACAAGGAGGCGTTACTGCAGGAGATTGACGCGTTTCGGGCACGCTCCGAAATCACGCGCTTCCAACATTCAACCGGAAAATCAGCCCATACTCTCGCACTCGATGTTTTCAACATACTGTTTATTTTATGCGATTGCAGTAACAATAAGTACACTATGATAAACAAACAAAACAGAGAACAACAGTGCACAGGAAGATGCCGAACGAAGACAACGCTTGGAACCATCACGTCTTCAAACATTTCCCAATACACGCGTAGTTCACTGGTATTAGACCAATCTCAAAATCCAGCAATGCAACACTCGGCGTCTCGCGTGTTATCATCGGAGCGCGCATGCCCTGGTACCGTCCAGTGATGACGACACAGTGGTCCCCTAGACTCGGACCAACCGGTTTGAGATACTTAACTGGTACGCGGTGTTCCTCTAACCTGTCTGGTAGAACGTCGACCAGAGCGATGGCCATGTCGTCTTTATCTGTGTCCAGCACGATAGCAACGACAGCAGTCTTCTCCTCCAGTCGTCCATCGAGCCATTCTTTGCCTGGTATGTTGGTACCTTCGAACTGCACGATGAGGTTCTCGATAATATCCTTGCCCTGCTTCCACCATTTTTGTGTGTCGGGTTCTAAAGAAGCAATGAAGTCAGCATATAGACATAATATTGCTATACGTAAATTAAAGAAATACTGACCATCAGGGTGTGGTCCGACTGGATGGGCTTCTATAGGACCGCCCCAAGGTGTATCGGGAAGCTCAGCTGGAGTCTGCGTCGTCAAGTCAGGACGGAATTTGTCGACAGGCCACGCCGGATCCAGCCCGACCGTGGGATCTGCCCAACCTCGTATGTTAGGCGTATGAGCTGCCGCTGCCGCAGCAGGAGTCGCCGCCAAGAATGGCGTGGGCTAGTGAATAAGAGAGAGCCAGGAAATTTAAAAAGACAAATAAATAGCTATTAATCATACAGGCAATCTTCACGACATGAATGAACTTCTTACCGCAGAGAATGTCTCCCCCCACGTATCTGCACCTCCCCACGTCGATTGTCCGGATTGCCACCGTGGACTCGAGCCCCCACCCCAATCGTTGGAATTGTCCGGCTGATGAGCCGGGGTTCTTCCAACATTTATGTTCCACGCAGGTGTCCGGTTCCCTTCTTTTTCCCTGTCTGCAGTGTATGGATTTGGCGTGCGAGCCGGATGGTTCCAAGCCGGGGTACGTGCCCCAGCATTCCAAGCTGGAGTCCTTGATCCATCTTGCGTGTAGGGATTAGGCGTACGAGCACCCCAACCAGGAGTACGTGACGAATCTGATGCATACGGATTTGGTGTTCGTCCAGCACCCCAGCCTGGCGTTCGTCCCCCGCCGTTGTTGTAAGGGTTTGCGGTAGGTGTAGACCGTGCCATATTCCCGCCTAAACCAGCCAGACTGCCACCGAAGCTTGGAGGAGGCATCATTAATCGGGAGAATGCCTTCCCCAGTGCGCCCTTGTCCACAAGTCCCTTTTCCAAATTTCCTGTCGTCCCGTCAGGGCTTAATGACATTTAGTAACTAGTGTTACCTGAAAAAAGATTATGCAACTCACTTTTTGCGTTTTAGCTTCATCTTATCAATGGTGATAACTCTGTTACCCATCTGCAACTCAACACGAGCGACAGGTCCGTTAGTATCTTTGACAATCCCAACGAACCCTTTTTGTGGGCCTTTAATCACCACGACTGTTTGGCCCACTAAATTATCTCGTGGACCGCGACTCATTTGCGAGCCAACCATTCCTCCAACCGCACCCCCACTGAGTGCAGGGTTCATCTTAGTCAGATCCATAGCACCTGGCTTGGGTGCATTGCCCTTTGGAGCCAAGGAGACGAGTGAGCGAGCACGAGTAACAAACACGCCGTCATTTTCTGAGATCTCGCGGTTGAAAAGGAAGGCATAGAAGGATTGATGGATATGTAAAACTTGTCCTTTACGCTCCTATGATAGTATTAGCCTATTGATAAACCGAAATGGAATCAATGCCATGGTGGACAAAGCGTACCTCTCCATCGACTTCCTTGACATTGTCATTAATACGAAGTTCGTGCCCTTCGGCATCAGTCGCAATGGCACGATTGGAGTCCCGCCGCATCGCAATTTGGTGCGGCTGAACAAGTCGAACTTGGCCATTCTGATCGAGTACTCGGAATGAATCTCGCTCCGTCTTGAAAATAACGCCAACAGTTTGCGAGCTATAAGACACGACAATAAGTTATTATAAGTAGTTGGGGAAGTAAATGACATAATAGACATACTCCAGCTGAACGAGGTCATGCAACTCGTAGTTTCCAACGATGTTCGTACTTAACCCGACTTCAGCCGCTTCTCGTAAGTCTTTTGAGAATACAGAGAGCTAAATAATTGGTAAATGACTGTGAAAGTACAGATTTGAAACAAAGGCACACCTCTTGCATGGTCATATCGGATAAGAAAGTTACAACGTTATCAACCACAGAGACAACAAGACCGGTTTCATCCGCGTTTTGCCCAGACATGACCTTGACGTGATCACCAACTTTGAAGCGTTTCCGTACACTGCGAGCAGGAACATCGACTTTCTGTCCCTCGATGTCGACGCCAATTGCGCGCAAGGTAACCACATCATTCGCAATAGACTCTACTACACCATGAACGCCAGTCTGTTCACCTTCAAACACTTCGACATGATCCCCAGGCTGCAAGACTTGGATCGCTTCTTTCTTCGCCGTCTCAGCAATGATGGAGAGATCAACATTCGCCTCATTCTCAGCGCCGTCTTCTCGCCGGGTGAACTTCATGATTTCGTCCAGCGTCGGGTTTACATTCTCCAATATCAAGGTTGCAAGTTTAAAGTCCTTCTCGATGTACCCGTCCCTGAACGTATCATTATTGAAGACGTAAACTTGATTCCGCTTTGCTACCGCGCGACGGCCATAGACCTTGACAACTTCCTCGTAGTTGAAGAATCTCTGAGGTGGTCGTGAGACAGAAGACATTCCCGATCCCTTCAACTTCCTCTTTTTGCCATCCGCGGACACGATCTCATCCTTCGGGTTGAGATCAATTCGAGGAACGAATTTCAAACCAACTTCTTCTCCACTCTCGGCAATGTCCAGTACTTGCGCCAAGTCTCCTGAATATTTACCACGTCGGATACGCACCCAACTACCTGGAGTCACAACAATATCCTTCTTCTTGATCTGAAGAAGTGTGGCCATTTCTTCGATGGGCACAAGTGTGATTCCACGACTCAGGAACACGCCAACGAGTCCATTGATCGCTTGACTGACTTGCTGTGAACTTCGTGCCTCAACATAAATCATGCCGGGAAGAGAATCGCGTTGAAATGCTGAGAGAATCTGCAGTGGCTTTGCCGTAAACTCCTGGTCCATTGCTTTGCGCATGAGGCTGAAGACAATATCACGCTCTTTCCCAGGCTGGACACTATTTAGTGATTCTGACATAGCATGCATTGGTCAGTAACACTCACCCTGACTCGAACTTGCCACAAGTTTGCGTCTTGAACGGATGGCATGAGCAGCCGCTGAGGAATCTCGTTCATGTCACCAGTGTACTTCTGCGCTGTCGGCCTGTAACGTCGTGTAACATCCTGTGCTATTCGTGCGAGGTCCTCATCATTCAATTCTCGGTTCCTATCCAGGCGAGCATGGTGAGCTGCTCGGTGATTCATATCATCCAAGTCTTCACCCTCGCCAGGCACCTCGTCGAAGAGGTCTTGTCGGGCAAAGTCAATACATTAAGGTTGACGACTCGCTGACTATTTTACGTACCCCTAGCGTCCTCTTCATCCTCCTCTTCATCGTCTTCATCATCATCGACTTCGGCTTGGATATCCAAGAACCGATTGACAGCTGAACGCTTGTGACGCTTTGACCCATCCCGGTGTAAGTGCGAGACTCTAATATGCCACTAAAATGCAATCCACATACCTTTCGTCTCTTTTTAGCCCTAGCCTCTCCGGGGTCCTCCTCATCGTCCTCTTCTTCTTCATCGTCTTCGTCTTCTTCCTCGTCCTCGTCCTCATCCTCCGCTACTCCTTCCTGGTCTCGTCTTCTGTGTTTCTTCTTTTGTGGTCGTTCTTCCACGCGGTCGTGATCAGCCAGATCATCATGCATAACGTCGGCATCCGGATCTTCTTCCATTTCTCGACGTTCAGCCTCGTCCAAGTCGGACATGGTGGAGGTAACGGCTCAAGAGCGTTGACGAGACGCGCCTTCAAGAGAGAGTATATGACAATGACGCACGTGATATGATTACATATTACATACCATATGTAATCGACACGTGCATGAGACCTGCCTTATATATCCTGTCCCGGATCTAGCAAGGATTGACGGGCGATCGACCCTGCTCTGGCCAAAAAGCGGCGACACTCTGCCTACGCTCTTTCCGTGTGTATGCATCTGTTTCACTCTCGTTTGCAGCAAGCCAGTCCTTAGCAACAATCTCCCTCTCGAAGCGCGCGGCGGACACGAGCAATCATTTATCACTGATCGTGATTCGTACAGTATTTCGCGTGTGCGAATACTTAACAAGGAACGTTATTGCCGCACGTTCAACTCCTGCACCCCTCTTCGCCCCCTCCCACTATTCCTGCAAAATTTGTCTACAAGAAAAAGAAAGCATTGTTTGACTCGTCTCGAAAATGTCCTACATGCAATCTCAAGCGCTCGGTCTCTCGTCGGGCTCCAAGCCAGGCATGGCTCGTGCTCCAGTGCCCATGAGTGTTGAGTCTATGTTCGAAAAGATTATGGACGTCGTCACAACATCGGTATGTACTCTATTCCATGTGTACTGTATCCAGATAATTAACCGTTACCCACACAGTCCAAAGACATTGCAGAGCTACGCCAGCAATGTGCAGAATTGCGCATGGCAAACTCAAACCTTGAGAGGTTGGTCAAAGATGCTACTATGGTGAGTTGACTTTCCAACTAGCCGGAAAATACAATCCGCTACGCTGGAGATATGGTCGACCGTTTTGGATTATTTTGAGTGGCAAGTTGTAACCAACCTGGGCAACGTACTTGCCACGAACTTGACGTGTCAAACACGTTATCTCTTCATATTCACCTAATTTCCTATATCCGTCTGTGCCTTGTACCTAACTCCTATTTTCTTTGTATTCTTAGACTGGATACCACTCTGGCGTGCAAACGCCAGGTTTCATGACACCAGCACCTGGCTCACCAAAGGCACGTGCAAAGTCGCCATTCCTTACCCCATCTTCGATACCCACACTTGCAATACCTCCCACCGTTTATGTTCCTTCACCACTCGGCGATAATTCTCTCACTGCTTTCCCATTTCATGGAAGAGAGATTCCTGGATTCTACGTCGTGATTCCAGCAGGAGGTGCCGGAACGCGTTTGTGGCCACTTTCGCGAGAGGATCATCCCAAATTCCTTCTCGACGTGAGTTTATGCGGACGATCTCTCCTTCAAGCGACATGGGACCGTCTGTTGCCCCTTGCAACTGCTATACGGACAACCGTTGTCGCTGGTCCTGCACATTCGAGTGCCATCCGGAACCAACTACCCGAGCTAATTCCGACTAATCTCTTCACGGAACCGGGTCCGAAAGACTCAATGGCTGCAATCGGTCTAGCAGCTGCAATCCTTGCGCGTCGTGACCCGGATGCAATTATCGGCTCGTTCGCGGCCGATCATATCGTCCACGGTGATGATGCATTCCTCTCCGCAGTCGCAGAAGCCGTGGAAGTCGCACGAGAGAACTATCTCGTCACGATTGGTATTGCTCCGTCCCATCCAGCAACCGGGTTCGGTTACGTTCGTCTCGGCGAACGTTTGCCCCTCCCAAATGCACCGAACGCACGTCTCGTAGGGAGCTTCAAAGAGAAACCCGACGCTCGTACAGCTGCTACCTACCTCGCAACGGGCAACTACCGATGGAATGCCGGTATGTTCGTCACGCGTGCAACCTTCCTCATGGAGCTGCTCAAAGAGTACAAACCGGAATTGCACGATGGTTTGTCGCGTATTGCTGCATGTTGGGATGATGAGGGGTTGAGACAGACGGCATTAGGCGAGGTTTGGGCTGCATTGGAGAAGATTCCGATCGATAATGCTGTTGCGGAACCTGCTGCTGCACAGGGACGCGTTGCGGTTGTGCCCGCGACGTTTGGGTGGGATGATGTTGGAGATTTCTCGTCGCTTTCGGAGATGCTGCCTGCTGAGGCCAACCAGCCTAAGGTCTTGGGTGACCAACATCTCGGTACGTCTCTCATACTTTCATCTTATTCCTCCGTTAAGATTGAGGTCTAACTATTACTTTGTATTTGTAGTCCTTACGGAACAAGTGGCTGGCGGGATTGTCGTTCCCGGCTCAGGAAGGCTCGTTGCATGTCTGGGTGTTGATGACCTCGTCATCGTAGACATGCCGGACGCGCTGATGGTCACGACACGTGCACGGTCTCAGGAAGTGAAGAGACTCGTGAAGAGATGTAAGGACCAAGGGTGGAAGAATCTCCTATAGTTGCACAGAGACGAATTGGCGGATATTGTGATGAAGCAATGAACCGAGTAATGTGGAATGTAGAATGATGGATTCTGAATGGACTAGTAACAGGATGAGAGAACTCAGAAGAGTAGAGATAACACGTGCATACGGACATTCGTCCCAGGGGTCTTCTAGAAGTATACCAATTATCACGGACAAATTTATAACTTTTTTGGTTATTATCTAGGTTTTTCTTCATTGCTGGCATTGTGAGATAATTATAGCTAACAGTCAACACTGCTACTCTGCATTCAAAACTCAAGATTCAAAAAGAGTGTGTATACAGCCAATTCAGGATTAACAAGACTCAAATGAGCCGATCAGTGAGGATCATTATTCCACGTGACCTTCCGTCATAATGAACCAATACTTATACTATTACTACCGAACCGAGCGTTCCATGCTCGCAACCCCCACGAATGCCACTCTTAGATCTTCCATTAGAGCTCCTTCCTTTAATTGTACAACAAATAATCAGACCACATCACCTCACACAATTATGTCTCGTCAACAAGGACTTCTACTCCTGTGCTGTTCCGCTATTGTATGAGCGAACCGCAATCTTCGCGTGGCACAGAGAAGGAAAGAAAAGAGTGTGTGAACACTTTATCTTATGTATACCAGTCGCGCACATATCTGACGGCTTACCGCGTCGAACAGGCTACTCAACTGTTCTGGACGCTAGCGAGTTGTCCGAAGCTAGCTCGATATGTTCGTAGACTCGGTCAGCTTCTTCGATGACTTCGTCGATATAGCATATACTCAGCTCCTTTTAGAGTTAAGGGACTTTCCGAAAGCTATATCTCGTGATAGTGCGAATGATCTTATGCGACTATGCGTCACGGCTCTCGCAAACTGTGTAAACCTCGTTTCCTGCACATGGACAAGAGACGGTTCGCTCAAGGACGATATTCTGGAAGCTCTATCTCGGTGTCCGTCTCTAGAAGCTCTAGAGTTCAACGGAAGGCATGTGCGCAACTACGATCCCTCCCTGCTCAATAACTTTAAGAAGCTGAGAAGGTTGAGGGTTATTATGCCGAGCTCGGAGGTCATACATGCATTACCAGACTGCTTTGAGAGAAATTTCGGGACATTGCAGGAACTGACTATCATTTGCAAGGTGAATTATCTGGATTAATGCGAATCATAGATTTTTCGAATAACTGATCTTCGTAAAGTTTACTCCTGTTGTCACAGATAGCTGGTTGCTATCGAGAGCTCCTTCGTTGTCTCGTCTCAGGAAACTTCATCTTGCTGGCTGCCCGAAAGTCACTCATCGTGGTATTACCCTTCTTCTGAACGGGAACACTGTTGGTATTACGGATCTTGCTCTTGAGGGAGTCTCTCCGGCTTTCGTAAGTACTGTTCCCAACATTCTCATTGCTCATCCCCACTTCTGATTTTATGCTACCTTATATTTTTTTCATCCCCGTAATTCTAATACCATGCGGAACTCTTTGCAGAACATGAAAGACTTTGCAGCTTCAAGTTCGCATCTATTATCGCACCTCACCTCCATAACGCTGACATTCCCTGTCGCTGGTGTCTCCCTTCCCTGGCTAAACGATGTTGAGGCGCTTCTTTTCGACGCACTTTCTCTCGAGCAATTTCATCTATATGCTTCTGGCGACCAGCTTCCAAGACCCGTCTCTCTCGATACTGAATTCGTGAAGCGATTCATTGGAAGGCATAAAGAGACATTGACTCGCTTTGCGGTGCTCCGCTTGCCTGTGAGTATCGAAGCATTAGATTATGTCATGAAGGATGCGGAGAAACTTGAGCAATTGTTTGCGAGTGTTTGGAGGAATGATTTGGTATGTGTTTTTCTCCACTACTAAAGCATTGGAATTTATTCTGATACAATAATGCAGAATAAGCTCGGTCCAATCATTGCGCAATCCAACACGCTACGGACAGTGCATATAACGTACGCTTACAACACTCTGGCAAGTCAAGGGAGAACAAATCCTTCCACTTTGAGTTCCGTAATTAATCGTATCGCGTTACCTCTAAGGAATGAAATGCATTCGCATGCTCGACTCATGCACGAAGATGACAACGAAGACGAGGACGACCTTTTCTTAGCACATATGGAATCAGATTTGGAGTCTTTGTCTTTAGAACATCAACAGCCAGTGGGAAGGACACAGACGCAAGGTCCTTGGCCGACAATGGCGGAATTGGAAGAGCTCGCTGGTCAGTTTGGCGTAAATGTGACGCAATTTGGTGTACAGACGCGTGTTTGGCAGGTCCGCTGGTTTAACTTGTTTAGGATGCACCTTCTGGGTAAACTCATCATCATTGTTTACGTGTATAGGTCGAACGGATCTTCACTAATGAGGACGACGAATCTGGTGGCCGTCCATGTCGAAGAGTTAGGCTGGCGCCGTATGAGAGTCCGGACGTGCCTGACGTATTCCTAGTCGTGCGGACGTGATACGTGACCAAAAACAATGTATTGGTTATAAAGGAATCCTCCGAGTTCAAATTGTAAAAAAATTACAAAATACATATTACATCCACACATACCAGCCAGTCTTCATCCTCATCTTTCTACACCACATTATATAATTTACTCATCCACCCCCACTCAACACCCCATCAGCATTTGATGAAATTGCCAACAATCATACTCGGTATCCCAACCATATCCCTCCTGATGGTGAACGAGAAACAACAGCTCACGAAACCCTCTTCCTTTTGCTCGTTCTTTGACGCGGAGAAGGACTTGCGATGTGAGACGGGTGTACTGCCTCCTGAAGAGGGGAAGTTGAAGACAGGTTTATATCGAAGGACACAGGAAGTGAGGACGGCTTTTTGGGTTGAGTCGAAGGCTACCTGGCCGTATTTCTATGATGAAAATGAATAGTCGAATTGACTAAACTTGGTGAAAGGCGAATAGGAACTGTACGAACCTCCCAGTAATTAACGGCTGATTCTTCTGCCATCACTTCATAAATGCATAATCTCCCCTGTTCAATCCATAAAAACCCGGTGTCATATAACAAGACAGGTAGAAAGCAGCTCACATCTCGTAGCATGTAATCATCCACACCAACCAACTCAGTGAACTCGCGATTCCCCTTGACGATCTCGCCTGTTCTTCGCCAGAGACAAGCAGGGACGCCCATGGCGGAGAAGACTCGATCGTAGTCTAATAGAAGTCGCTCGAAGGCTTCTTCGATGAAAACAAGGTCCTATGGGTATGTCGTGTGAGTTCAGTAATTGTTCAGGAAATGGTAAGATGGTAAGACGAAAAGATGGGAAGATAGTAAAGAACGACGGAAGAAGGGAGAGAAGGAAGGATGAGCACCATATCTCGAAGCGTCTGGGCTACCGCCTGTGAAAGGGGATACAATGAGATGCATTTTCAGGTATATGAAGATTCTCATGCTTACTCTGAACTTCGGACGGAGAATAGAAAGGGGTTGGAGTATTTGCTGTTTCGAGTCTTGCGATACACTGCAGGAAGAATCATTGTTGTCAATGTGCATTACAGCGCTATATCATTGCACAGCTTACTTTCTATCCATCCATTTCGAGAGTCGTGCATACCCTTTAACATAATTATACGGCTTCAACAGCCCGGCTTCATACTTCGCCTGAATAACGCGATTGAGTCGCTCGTTGGGTGAGCCGGTACCTTGGTCTGCTGCGATCAAGAGGAAACGCTCCTTTTTAGTTGCAGACGGGAGGATGGGCTGTGCTGGTTGGACATCCTCTTTGGGCTTTGGTTGATCTAGAGACGGATCGATTGGGATAGGAGATGTATCTTCCTGTTGGGGCTGTTCGGTTTGAACGGGCTGAGTTGGTTGGGTGGATTGCGGTTCCTGATTTTGAAGAGATGGATAAGAGGTAGCTGTACTGCTCGTAGTATCAGGCAAGGGTAGTTGCTGAGAAGGATATGTAGTCGGCTGTTGCTGTTGCTGTTGCTGTTGCTGTTGAACAGAGAGATTATTGAGACCAGTATTCTGGCTTTGCGGTGCACCAAAGAATGATGCCTCATCCAAATTTTCAAGGAACTCCCTTTATTTTGCGTCAATTCGTTGAGCAATGTACGCTAAACTTAACGATATGGCACGCACGTAAGAAAAGAGAACTCATTGTTCGTTGCACTAGAGTCAACGGGGAACCCATAACTATTCAATGGAACACCCATGTTCCAAGGCATGATCGTCGACGCATCAGTACCGAGACCATAATTCTCTAATGAGAATATAGTCAAAACCCATGCTAGTATTGAACAGAACCGGGATCGATAAGACGGGCAGGCTCACGTTGCAGAGTTCTAGAGGGATCCGCTGCTGCGTTTAAAGGTGTTACATTCCCCGTTCCAGAAGCCGTGTTGGTCCCAGGACCACCTATCACAGCTTCCGATTCACCTGGCTTAGGTTGCATGATTCCCGGTACAGGCTTTCGTTCGTCGTGACATAGGTGACCAATGTCGCGTTTTACACTGTTCCATCCGGAATCAAACCCAGTTTGTGTGAGGAAGCCGTTTTCAGCGATGCCTTGAATGAATTGACGTACCAACGCTTGCATGGTCTACTGTCGTCGCACGTCATATGGCTCCTCCGACAATAAACACACGCATGGTTGACTTTACGCCGCTTCCCATTCTTGTTCTTCTTCCTGCCACCCTGCGAGTCGTCCTCGTCGTAGTCAATGGAATCGTTCGGTGCTAGTGTTTGCAAGCCCGATGTCGAAAGTATTTGGTGCTCCATTTGCGACCCCGAGGACATAGGCCCGGAATATGCGCTTGCCTGCATAAGTACCGATTGGCTTTAGGGCTGCTGGAGGACGGCGAGTAGCAGTGAGCCCGCGCTGTTTTGAATGCTCCGTGTTCAATGTTCTCGTGGTCGATTTGATATTCCCGAAAAAGAATAAACTTCTCACAGCCAATAACCTTTTGAGTTGTTAATCGTATCCTTCATTTCGCGTTTCACCTCTAACCTACATATACTCTGCCACTTGTCCGATACGTGTGGCTTGTATACCAAGCCGATTTCATTGTGCCTTGCTCGTGTGAAACGGTGCCGACACGTAGCAATCTGATGATCCCGTTCGGCCGCGGCCACCACATGCTTCAAAGTCCAATATGGTTTCTTTCGCAGACTTCAGTGAACTTTACGCACGCAACATGCCTGGACACAGACCCGCTTCGAGGACTACGGAGCATATCAAGCGAATTTAGCCCACGGCAAACTACCACTCATCCTTCCTCTATCATGAGGCAGTTATTACTAAGACTTTGTTCTTGCTTTTGCAACCTACCGGATAATTGGATTTTCACTCCTCTGATACTGACTCCCGCCTTGCGTTTACCATCAGAGGATCGGGCCTTAAAGCTTACTTATATCCAATCACTGCTAGTAACATGCCGAAACCCATCGCGTTTCTAGACCTGTCTCTAATACATTGTTTCAGTTCGGAAAACCTTGATTATTTCGCCAAATATTTTGCGTTTCCAGCCAGCAACATGATCCTAACAATAAAACGATACCGTAATTCCTGCGTTGCGCTAGACACTGGCGTATTCTTTCGTTCTTCACGCTATCGGTGCTTTATTTACAGAAATCCTCCGCCGCAGCCCAGTGTTCTCTAGTTTCAGCGGATAGTGGTGCACCAGCGTGAACTTCGCAGAAACCACGGCTCTTCTGCAACTTGACGAATACGGCTACTCAAACCTGTATTGCCACGGGGCAAACCGAGTTGAATGGCTAACGAAGCCTCTGTTGACCCTGTGTGCTTGTTGTATTCTCTGTAACCTTTCCTTTAAGCTCAACCGGATTGTATGGCCACGATTAATTGGAGACTGCCGATACCAAGCACACCTTGCCAAGCAGTGAAATACATTTCAGTTTCACTACCGACGGGGAAACGTAGGAACAGACCTGAGAATCGAACGCGTGGAAGGCATGCGAAACGTGGAGTGGGTACATTCGTATGGGGGATTCGTAATATAAATAGTTTCTTTCGATCTACTACATGGACTAACAATACTGCGAGTGAAGAGAGATGTGACGCTATCGTACAAACTCCGGGAGAAAATGAGGTCATAGCCAGTCGTAAGAACGGTCGGCATAGAAGATACGGAAGGCTCGAAGAACGGGACTTAAAGTAGCGAAGCGGGGCCGAAGCATAGGTTTTAGGAAACTATGAGGTCAAGGGGGTGGGCCGAGAGCTAGATCGGTACGTATGTGGTAGTATTATCTATATCTTTACTTCGTGCTCACGGGCCTTTTTCCCGTGAGGATCCCGAGAAGACTACTTAGGCGGTGAGTCGATTTCGGACGCACCGGCTTGGCGTTGTCCCTACAAGGAAATAGTTGACAAAATAGTCAGTTCGATGTTAGGAAAGACGGATAGAGGCGAGCTCGAGACAAAACGCACTTGCTGCTCTTCTGGTTAGACACGCACTCAATCTCCACGACGGTCGCCTTTACTCTGCTTTCATCTGGTATCGGCAAGCTGAGAACACCGGGTTCCGTTGGAGGTGTCGAGGGCGTTGAACTAGCTTCTTTCACTAGAGGTGTACCTGTGCCTGCAGGAGTTCGAGGTCCAGGAGACTCTATCTCTGATTCGAGCTCATCAATTTCAGGCGCCCATTCTTCAAGAGCTGGTAGGATCTGCCGCTGACCCACGTCGGATGGTTCCGTGTTGTTTTCAAACCACTGAAATGCGGAATTAATCATTCAGGCCAATATGTAGTTAAGTGAAAACTTACATCAACCAGGAACTTCGCAGACGCCTTCGGATACCGTTCTTGTGTCTCGTAATTAACATATGTGACACCAAACCTTGTTACGTATCCATCTGCCCACTCAAAGTTATCAAGGAAACTCCACGGGAAATAACCACGGACGTCAACACCATCCTCATTCACGGCTGCTAACAAAGCCTCGCAATTCCCCTTGAAGTACTCCACGCGGTCATCATCCTGTAGTGCCTGCTCTATGGGCATGCGATCCTCGTCTTTGACTGCGAAACCATTCTCGGTGACGTAGATCGGTTTCTGGTAACGTGTCCAAAGGTAATTGAGCAGCGCACGGAATCCGGGCGCATAAGTTTGCAGCCATGCACAATGAGCTTGTGTGCCGAGCTGGCTGCCGTCTGGTCGCGTGAAAGTGTATTCCGCTTTCCCTTGGAACTCGTCTCCTCCCGGGCCGCCTGCACGCGTGAGGTTTGTCGTATACGTATTCATGCCGTAGAAGTCCGAAGATCCGTGCACCAATGCAATTTCTGAGGGCGTGAACGTTGGCAGACGTGCGCCGAGCATTGATTTCATGTATGCCGGATAGGAACCCAAATAAATTGGGTCTGCAAACCAGCCAATAGCAACGTCTAGCGTGTGCTGCGCTGATTCGATATCTAGGTTTTGTTTAGTATTCGTTTTCAATGTTCTTCTGGTTGATTCTCAACTTACTCTCTGGAGCGTCATCGTACGGAATAGCCCAATCCCCGTTGAGCGTGATGCCGATAACACCACGTTGGTGAGGCTTGTAGTCTCTGCGATAAATATTAACTGCGTTCGCATGGGCCAGTAGCACGTTGTGTCCAACTCTGAAAAGAGATCGTTTCATTCAGTTTCTCTGCATGGCGCCTGCGAAATGAGGAAGAATGACGTACATCCAAGGCTCAGTCGAGCTGTCACCTTCGGGGGAACGCAAGCGATCGCTTGAGCGGCCTGGGGCGAAGACGCCGCGGCCGTATCCGAGAATTGAAATGCACCATGGCTCATTCATTGTCAGCCTAAAGAAAACAGTATACGCGCGATCAGCATCTTCTCAAAGAAGACGGGGGACACATGAGAAGACTGAGGAAGAGGCGTGGAATGCGTGTATAATTGAACAACTCGGGGTGGTTACCCATTGAGACCAACGCGTCCGCGGCGAAACCTCAATCACCAGGTAAGAAACACCATGAGGCGCTTCGGAAGCTATGGCGATTGAATGCGGAGAAGGAGACGCGTATACAACACCGTTCTACACTTGCCGAGTGAAGGGGTCAGGGAAGGGGAAACGTATACGCACCAATATTTGATGCGATCTCCAAATGCTTCGAAGCAAACCTATAGGGTGAAATCCACGCTGTTAGTATCTCTTCGATTAGATGAACCGGAAGCCTGATTGGACACCAGAAGAATGAACTGAAACGACCGCAAAGACGGCAATTGTGAAGAAGGGAAGCTTTAATCAACGCTTCAAGTGCGGAGAAATTGGTCACGACGGTCTAATTAGCTCCTGATGCGGTTACGAACGTCGCCGTTTATCAGAGGTCACGTTCAAGGCGTATCCCATCCAAAATAAACTGAACAGATAGAATCGGACGAGCGTTGCTAATTATCCGAGAACGCAAGTTGAGATGGCATTTAGAAGACGGATGCGGTTTCAGAATGTCCGTAAGCGTCGTGAATATGCCCAGTTATGGCGAATTCCCATCTGCCAAGCGCCTCGGTTGGTGAAGGCACAGATGAAGAGCTGAAGAACAGAGAAATGAAGTGATGAACGACACCTACTCTCGCATAATTGGTGAAGTCTTTTACGATCTCTTCTTTGTTGAGCCAGCCGCCATATCTATCGTGTAGGGCTTGCGGGAGGTCCCAATGATACAATGTCTTTGTGGGGTGGCGGAGCGTTAGATTATCTGGCAAGTAACAAGTAACCAAAAATGAAACTCACGACAAACGGCGTGATACCGTTTTCCAACAATTCATTGATTATATTATTGTAAAATTCAATACCCTTTGGATTGATAGGGTCGAGACGGCCGCCAAGGGGAATGATTCTCGACCATGCAATAGAGAAGCGGTACGATTTAACTTTGTACTGCTTGAGGAGTGCGATATCCTCGCGCCAGAGGCGGTAAGAGTCGGTAGCAACATCGCCATTGCGGCCATCGAGTGTCTTACCGGGCAAACGAGAGAAATCGTCCCAGATGGACTTACCGCGCCCATCGACGTCGGTCGAGCCTTCGATCTGGAAACTAGCTAGAAAAGAAGGTCAGCGGGGGGTCCGACTCCGAGGGCGGATCAGGGTTAGTTTAGACGCCAACTGTGATCCGCTCGGTTAGTGTGTCGAGGACATACCAGTCGCAAATCCCCAGAGGAAATCTTTGTTCAGTTTGTTCATTCCCGCCATCGTGTAAAGGCGGCTTTGAGGATTAGTATTTGACACGGGGGAAAGTCAGAGGAAAGAGGTGTATTATATATTCTAAGTGCAGTCCGACAAATATCCGAGGGGCCGGAAGAACTTCGGGCCCTTACTTTCAGATCTTCCTAGCTCTTCTCTTCGCTCTCCACCACCATGTCGTCTGGGTACTCTCCGACGTCTATCGCCATCCTGGGTGCTGGAATATTTGCCAAGGAAGGTCTGCACATGCATGCATTCAACATACGAAATCATGAAGATTCACCGTTGATTATGCAGCACACCTCCCGGCAATAGCTGCACTCGGGAACAGAGTCCTTCTGCGCGCTGTTTACTCTCGCTCGCATAAATCTGCATCAGAGCTTGCAGAAGCCGCGAAATCAACTTTGAAACTTGAAGATCTGCCCAAGATCTACTCTGACGACACCGATCCAGGATCCACGCTCGATGCGTTGTTGGCTCGACCTGACATCGACGCCGTTATTGTCGTACTTCCGATCACTACACAGCCCAACATAGTCATTAAATGCCTGGGAGCTGGTAAACATGTCTTATCCGAGAAGCCTGTTGCACCAGATGTTAAGTCGGGTCTCGAACTCATCGCATCATATGAGAAAGATTTCAAGCCGAAGGGCCTCATCTGGCGTGTTGCGGAAAACTATGAAGCGGAACCGGGTTACCGGAGGGCCGCCGAAGTGATCAGGCAGGGCAAGATAGGGGAGATCCGCTTTTTTAGACTTACAGCAGTCGGCTATGTTGGTAAAGATAGCAAATGGTACAAGACCCCATGGCGCACTGTGCCTGACGTATGTGTTACTTGATCTATGAGAGGAATAACCTCTGATAGCCAAATCTTCTTTCTTCACGTTTTCAGTATCAAGGTGGCTTTCTGGTGAGTCCTCCAAATTGGACATCGTCATGCACCAATGAAACGTTAGCAACACATGTAGCTTGATGGAGGAGTCCATTCAGTGGCGCTATTGCGTATGCTTTTACCGGAGCCTATGAAGCAAGTCACATCGTTCGCGTCTCTTTCAAGGCCACATCTACCACCTCACGACACAGTTACAGCCCTTATTTCATGCACGTCTTCATCTGACAAGGCAAGCGAACCCAAGGATAAGAAGGCACATGGAATTTTTGAGTTGAGCTTCGCGGCGCCTGCACCTTCCCGTTCAAAGGTCGGGAATACGACGATCATCACTGGAGACAAAGGCTGGCTTCAGATTGCTACGGGTGTGAAAGTCGGAGAGAAGAACGTCGTACGTGTGACCGTCCACGTTGTTACACACGAACAGGAGAAGGAGGGCGACGAACTTGAGGAGAAAGAGGAGATAATCGAAGAGGAACAGAAGAGTATCAAATTGGAGATTTCGAGTTTCCTCGATGCGCTGAAAGGCACGGACGACGGAATTGGGAATCCGAGAGCTGCACTTGTAGACGTCGCTGTCATACAAGCCGCATTGACAAGCGAAGGCGTGCCTGTTGACCTCGATAAGTTGGTCAAAAGTGGATAAGGACCAATGGCTGGAACGATATCTGCTATTTTAGGATTTCAAAGGTGAAACAGACATAGATTCACAGAAGAAAGTTTGAGCTGTAATATTAGACCGGAGACAATACTGAAAATTGAGACATCCTGCACACCTTAGGCCCTATGATTGTTATGCCGTGTGTCCTTTGCTAAAAAGCTCTTATCGACCAGGTGTCGGTGCTTGCTTTCGGAATGTCGACCTGTAAATGGTCATCTGCTCGAGCATGGAAACCTGAAGGCCCGTTCTTTCCGCCAAACATACAATACATCGGCAAAGACGTTCCGAGCACCGCGTCTTGTTTCTCCCCCGTTTTCGACCATGGTAACAAGGAAAGAGAGTGCAACTTCCCAGACCCTGTGCTACGGGACCGCGAGCATTTATTCAGGAAGGATCGTCCCATGCAAAAAAAGACACTTAAGCAGCAAAAAGTAGCGTCGGAACCGTCATGGCTCGTCCTTTCCCATGACTAGTGTAAAAATAGAAGAGCAACCTTCCTGTATCCAGCAAACGAAATTGCGCAAAGGCGGACTGCTTGAGATCCATCCGTCTGCTACAAAGATCCGGACACGTATAACTACGGAAAATTATCAAAATTGAATGTAGTTATTGACCGTTGATAGCGCAACGTACCAAATTTCTTCCCTTCTTAAAAGCCGACATTCCTTGCGTTTTAGCGCTGTACCCGCCTCGAGGCAGGGATTACGCTCAAATTGCGACTTTGAAGCAAGCGAGGTTTCTCCGAGTCATCGAATTACTCTGATGTGTATATTCTTTACGTCTGAGCTTCCCTGCGAAGAACGACAGTCTTCTGTGTTGCCGGGCAACATTGGAACACCTTCTCTTCGCCTTCCGCTGAAAGACAGTATCCATTTGTTCGGAAGAAATAAGCTGTGGCTTCTATCTTTTGGCACGTTATACACGGAGAAACCCCTTTTCTACGACCAAATCTCGGGAATCATGAGGGTGAACTCAGCAAAGGACTTGTACGAGCACCAATGAATGTAGGGAAGATGCGCAGAAAGGACGCGGAGAGCATCGTACATCGGTTTGTTACCTGCTAACTGGGTTGAAACGTTGACAGAAAAGAGAGAAGCCTGCACGAGATACTGTATCCTGGAAATAACCCGGAAGTAAGGAGTTTCACGTATGTGACTGCGTCATAGCGCAGCGTTCTCTTGATTCTTCTCATACCGCAAGTGTGGATGTACTCATTCAATACATGGAGATAGCATTACGGCTGGTAATCCGGGACCAGGCGGCTGGTTAATCCTTGTGCGGTGGCCTTATGACCACGACACCCTGATATGTTCTCGTGCATGTCAACAATGAGCGTTCAGGACTGAAAGAATCGCTAAAAGAGATCTCCTTCACTGATCCACAGACTCGGCAAGCACTGTAGACTTTTAGTCACAAGACTTTTGGCTGTTCGAAGCTGTAGAGTTTCAATGTAAAAGCACTCTAGGCAACCACGACGCGTTTCCGATTACGTATTTGACATTGTTTGGCTGTGTCCACAACCTTCAGTACAAGGGACTGGTCCGGTTTGATTTCTTGCTTAATCAATTCCGCCGTATTTACGAGAGAAAATAAACAGCTATTGGATAAGTATTCGACCATGGCACCACCTCTTTCCCTACAGGCCAAACGTTGGCGAACTATTATCGTCACGCTACCGATAATTGGTGCAACGTCTCGTAAGGCTGTCTTTTCTCTTTCAAAAGGTTCCGACTGATAGGACTGTTTTTCTTCAAAATGGAATTAACGTCGTGCGTCTTTGCCAATGTCATTAGTCGTTCTATATCAGCGCTTGGTCATGGGTACCCCACAAAGAACACTTCCCGACGCACCTCCGTTACCGCAAGCGTCAGAGGTTGAGAGGAAAACCACGGGCACAGAAAGCAATAAAGTTAATTGACGGAGTTGGCAGTTATATGGACCACATCGAAGTTACTATAGATTCTTAAAAAGTAATATTTTCTCATAGCTACACTGTATTCAGAGGCGACCTCCGAAATACCTAAGATATACTTAGAATATTCGTAACGCTTGCTTTTGGGTACTAAGAATGTTAATTGACCAGCTAGTAAGCAACCGATGCTTGAGGATAATGCTGCATTGTATTATGTATTCTAAGTATTAAGAACAAACTCAAAGCACGTTCGAGCAAAACAGTGTTTTCGGCGCTCTGTTTGAGCCATGTGCATTGGAGCCTTTGCAACACTACTTATGCAACTTCCAGCCTGTTGTCATGGGAGTAATTGACGGACAGTATGAAATCTATCATTGCTTTGCAGGTGCGGGTGCGGGTGCGTCAGAAGAAGGAATGACGGCAAGTCTAGTTCCTGGTACGCGTGCTGGATTAAAGGAACGGTCGCAATCTGCGTAGGCTGCCCCAAGTCCGAAACCGGTCGATAATGCAATTGGCCAAGTACGTCCTAGGTGAACAAGTAATGAGAACTTAACTCGTTACACTCGGGTTCGAGAGGTCGAGTTACGCACTCCGGAAGAGGATGACTGAAGCCACCACGCCAACACCGAGACCGACGCCACTAACATAACAAATCAGCCCAAACATCCAGTCTCCATAATGGACTGCACGTACGCCTTGACTACAAGATCAGCAACTACACCACCATTCCAAAATGACAGCACTTGAGTCAGTTCACGCTCATGAAGCAGCCGTGCACAGAGCACTCACGACATCTGTCATACTGGAATGCACCCGATGTCAGTTTAATACACACAAGAACAGATACGGCATACTTTTTGGGCGACAATATTCTCGCTTGACGATTTCGACGCGGACATCGCGTTCGTGTGTTGAGAGACGAGTGAGCTGCTGCTTGTCTGATGACGAGATGTACACGAAAATGGAAGTTCATACTCACGATCAAAATAAGGATATTATTATTAACTCCACTACACCTGCACCTGCACAGTCCTTCCTGACCTAAATCTGTGTCGTCCCGCATGGAATAACTATGTTTAAACTTAAAACTCGATAAAATGGTCAAGTCAAGACACTAGATTGCTTCGTGGTAATATTCCTCAAAGAAAACGTATGGGGCAGGTCATTTTGTATTATTAACAACTCAGAATATTGATATTTACTCTTGTAATCTCAATGTATGTCTCAATGTTCTTGCAGCAGCTGCAATCAGTCCTTCCTAATTGTAATATCCATGTTATCTTAGAGTCTATAAGTCCTTGTATTATAAGATGATTAGTTCATCAACAGACCAACCACAAGACAATGACTTTATAATGTCTCAGTTAGAATACATACAATATAAGGATGAGAGACACTGAGCAGTTAATTGTCACCTCACCCCTTGTCTATGTGTGCCCCCCTTAAGTTTTCCCTCTCAACAGGTTATGAGCCTTGAGCTCCCTGCATACATGCATCCACTGTACACTCTAAACTCTTTACTTGCATACATTTACACACATTTGCATCATGGTTCCCCCACATACAGATACATACTGTAAACCAGCTAATGTACCTAAATACTTCAGTCAAAACATTACAATGCTTAAGACTGAAGCAAACTACAAGATGTGGCACTACTACATTGTTTCTAGTGTCACAGCTACATGCTTTGAACACTTACTAAAGGATGAACCACAGAACAAAGCTGAGAGGGAGATGGCTAAGGCCATTCATACATACATAGTTAATAACATTACTGACACAATATTGGCAAACTATATACACTTTAATATGTCTATCCCTTAGTTAATGAAAGTACTTGAAGAACACTTTAACTCCTAGACAGTACATAAAAAGGCTATCAACAAATTAGCACTGTTTATTTGTAGAGACTATGTAAAACATTTCAAACATACATTAGACAGACTTGAGGAAGTATACACAACTCTGTCTGCTAACAGTGATCCACCATGTGACTCTACATACAAAGTAGCAATATTGCTTGCCACTCCTGAGCAATATACACATGTAGTAAATACAATAATACAATCTACTAATGCTCAAAACTGTCAGCAACAGTGTAGAGGGGACCTGAAGGCTCAGTGAGGGGACCCAGGCTACAACTATCCTACACAACAGAAATACAGAATGTAAGCACCAGAATGTAGTCAGAACTTGCAGAACAGGCAGAGAGAGAGAGTGAGACAAGAGTAGAGTATATAGAGTGAGCCTAAGAGTATAGGACTACCTGGAGTAGACAAGATCAAGACTACAGGACCAGTCTAATCTTGTACACCTATATATACTAAACTACACAAGAGCACTCAGGGAGTATGAGCCACTAAGAATGATGAGCTACAAAGAATGAAAGAAAGGAATGTCAAAGATAAAGGTACAAAGAATGAAGGGATGGACAAAGGGTAAGAGACTATAGAATGATACAAAGAATGAAGGGGTGGTCAAAGGAATGGAATGATGAAGTAAGGAAGGGTAGTAGCAAGAGTCAGCATACATATAGTCTATAAACAGTGCCCCTAAGGGACAGAAGTCCTGAGTCCTGGTACAGAAGGGTGTAGAACCCTTAGAACTGAAGGTACAAGAGTAGAGAACTGTAACATCACCCTCCCTCTAAAACCAATTGTCCTGATTAGTAAGCATTGGGCTCAGTCAGTGGCTCAGGCATAGGTCAGAATAGTAGGGTTTGGAAATCTGTGAGGCAGAGTTGACACAGAGCACCTAGATGAAGTCAATAGAAGTCTCAGATTGTCTTAGTAGTATGGGTGAGATTCTCAGCAGGTTCCCAAGTGTGTTCTTCAACTAGGTATCCCTTCTAGTGAATAAGGAACTTGAGCTTTCTGTGTACCAGCTTAGCATCTACTATGTATTCTACTTTGTATTCTGGTTTGGAACTGATGAGTTCTGGTAGAGACAGTAGGAGTCTTTGTTGTGAAGGAAAACCTGGATTGTAGTATCAAGACAGTAGAACCTTGTTAAACACTGGGTGTATGTACTTCTATGTTGTCAGAAGTTGGAGTTTGTAGGCAGAGGCACTAACCTTCTTTTCAATAACAAAGGGTCTGAAGCACTTGTTGTCCAACTTCTTTATTAGGCAATCTGTAGTCAGGTTAGTAGCTTCCAGTATAACTTTGTCACTAGGCTGGTAATCCTTGGCTGCAAACCTCTTCCAATCATAGTTCTACTTTATGACCTACACTACCTTTTCTAAAAGAGCTTGTGTGTCCTCCCTGGTTCTGTGCATCCATTCTGTAAAGTCTGTTATGGATTCAGAACTGCTGTTCCAGTTCAGAACTGTCCCCTAGTACAGATGTCTCTCATGATTGAGAAAGAATAGGGACTGTCCTGTTGTAAAGTGTTGCTAGTTATTGTGCACAAATTCTGTCAGAGCTAGCTATTCAGACCAATCTGATTACTGATGATTGATGAACATCCAGAGGTAGAGCTTGATCTCCTGATTGACTTGCTCAGTTTGACTGTCAGTCTACAGGTGATAGGTAGTAGAAGGGTTCCCTTGAATTCTGAGAAGTGTATACAAGTCCTACATGAATTTCAACTTGAATTACAGTCTGTAATCATGAATGAGCTTCTAAGAGAGTCTGTGTAACTGGAAGATGTGATCCTGATAAATGTGCACCATACCTTTAGAAGTGAGTTCTGTTTAGGTTGGAACTGTGTGGACTTGCTTAGAGAATCAGTCAACAATCATGTAGATAGTGTTGTAACCCTAAGACTTGGGTAGCTCACTAATCAGGTCTACTAAGACTTCTTCCCAAGAGTGATCCAGGATCTGATACAGATGTAGGGGAGCCTGAACCCTTGTCCAGTAAGCCTTAGTCTGTTAGCACATATTGTAACCAGTCATGTACTTCAGGATTTCCCTCTACATTCTAGGCCACTAGTAGTTCTAAGTAATGAGTTCCTGTGTTTTGTGTCAGCCTAGATGTCCTACAGTTGGATTGTTGTGATGAGCTTGGACAATGTCCTCCTACAGCTTCTGATCCTTCAGAATGTACAGTTGGCCTTCCTAGTAAACCTGTCCATCCTCATCCTCCTCCTAATCCCTTGCCTGCTTCTCTAGCTGCTTTACTATAACCTGGTCCTGTGTGTGTCTTAGAGCTCACTGTATGTGGGTGACAAAGTTAACATCCTTGGATTTGAGTCAGATCTCTTAGATTGTCTCAGATGCAAAACAGGAATTGTCTAGGAGAACAAGATTTTTGTTATTATTCTCCCCCCTTTCATAACCTACTTGTCTTGAGAGTAAATTGGCTTTTGTCATTTGTGTTCTGGGTTTGTGGGTCAGCACAAAGTTGAAGTCCTACAGTTCTAACATCTAGCAGGCTTAGTAGTAGTTGAGCTTCTAGGGTACTCAGAAGTACTAGAGATTAAGGTGATCACTCTAAATCTCAAACTTCAGTACAGTACTGAGGAGATATTGACACTACTCTTCTAGGGAACAGACAATTGTAAGGAGTTCCTTGTCATAGATAGGATAGTTCTGTTCTGTTACAGAGAGGGATTCTGATCAGAACACTATCAGACACTACTTTCTGTCAATGAACTAGGACAGTACTGCTCCATTTACAAAGTCAGAAGAGTTAGCTTTGACTTAGAACTTGTCTACAACTGTTAGAACTGTTAATACAGGCTTGCTAGTGATGGCCTACTTGAGGGACTCAAACACAGACTGCTACTGATCATCCCATTACTAAGGAACATCCTTGCTGGTGAGATTGTGAAGGGGCTAGGCAATAGTACTGAAGCCTTGAATGAAGTGTTAGTAGTAGTTTGCAAACCTAAAGAATGCTTGGACCTGTTTCAGGTTCTGAGGTTGTAGCCAGTTCCAAACTGTAGTCACCTTTGTTGGATCCATACAGACCTCTCCTCCACCAATCATGAAGCCCAGATAATTCACTGACTCTTATACAAAAGAGTACTTTACTTCTCAGAGGAACAGTTTATTATCTTAGAGCTGTTGTAGAACTGCTTGGATCAGTCAGTAATAGTGCTCAACTGTCTGGGTAAAGATCAGAATATTGTTCAGATACACACTAACATACTCTGAGTCAATCAGATCTGTAAGAATGTGATTCATGAATGACTAGAATGTTACAAGCAAGTTAGTTAGTCTGAAGAACATTATAGTCAGTTTGTACAATCTGTGATTAGTTTAGAACACAGCCTTCTACTCATCTCTGTCTTGGATCCAAATATTATTGTATCTCTATCAAATGTCCAACTTAGTAAAAACCCTGGATGTATGTGTCTTATTAATGAGCTTCTGAATCAGGGGGAGTGGGTACTTGTTTTTGACAGTACCCTTATTGAGACAACAATAATCCTAGACTGGGCAGAGCTTCCTATCTTTCTTTTTGACAAAGAAGAAAGGGGAGGCTATAAGGGACTTTAAGGGTTGAATCCAGCTGTTCTAAAGATTTTCCTAAAGGAACTTGTCAAGTGCCTCCTACTTGTCTCTGTTGAGTAGGTAGACCTTACAATCCTTAGGTTGGAAACCCTTAGTCAATTCAATTGTATGGTCCTAGAGACAGTGTTCAGGAAGCTAGTTGAATTCCTCTTTACTGAAGACTTTAGGGAACTCTTGGACAAAATCTGGCAGGCTGGGTTTACATGTGTTCTAGAGTAGAGTTGTTCTGAGAGGGTTCTAGACTGGTTCTGTCTCAGACATCCTTCAGATTGACTCTATTCTGTGTTGACTAGAATATGTATCCACATATCTATCCTAGTCAAAGAAGAACAACTGGTCACCTTCATTAGAACTGTTAGTAACATTAGAAGTGTCTGTATCCACTTAGAACAGTAGTGTAAGGTAGCTGTAAGACTTGGAACACTAAT